GATATATTACAGTCCAGTTACTGACTACAGTACTTTCTACGTTAACATGCAATATTTTTTACTTTTGCTATGAGCTACCTTAAAGAACAAGGTATGAATAATGTCTTGAACCTGTTGGAATTGAGGGATGGTATTGTAATATTCTAAAAAAGTCTATGAGTACTTACTGCCTGCACTGTACCACAAGTGAAACGTGTGTATTACTAGCCAGTATTCATACAGGGTAAACCAACTGACCTCTGCTTTACAAAAAGGGAAACAAGTCATAAAGAGTTGAAACAATGTCTGCTTAGGTCTTGAGTGATGCTTTTAAGCAATGACAGTACTAATGTACTCATCTCCTGTAACTTTGCTCATTGTGATATACTATCCATCTCTGTAATTGTTAATTGTTCCCTGCCCTTTTTTTTTCTCTTAATTTCTCAGAGTTAAGTCCAAAAAGGAAGCATACAGCTTCAATTTTACTATAAAAAAATAACGCAATAGTATTTTTTTCAGTGTAAAAAATACTATGAGCTTTCAGAAAACACAACAGAAGTGTTAGAATGTACAGACAGCAAGTGAAGATACTGAACAGCATTTTTTTCATTATACCATGTATTCAGTTAGCTAAACAAATCGATAGTATGGCTCTAAAAATAAATATATAACTGAAGCTTTGTTAAAAGGGGTTACTTTGGTCTGTCTGTGTTTATTGATGACTATCATCGCCATGATGTAAAGATTGCACAATCTATTTAAATTTTCTTAAATTGTATTATTTCTTGATCAACAATAATGCGATCCCTTTATTGAATTTCTATTGTACCCATTACTGAATTATCTGAGCACCATTTCCATACAAGACAAAGAGTGAAATAATGAAGGAATACAATAACTAAGCAGTCAACAGGATAAGTCATATTGGCATATATTGGCCTTGCCAAATCCTGCGTGAATGCTTTGATTTCTTTGCCTCTTTAATTTAAAATGCAACACATTTTCATTACTCCTGAGGATTCTGAAGAGCTTTAAACTGATTCTCTACTATAAACAGAGAAATGCTTAATTGCTTCTATGATTCATACATAGCTCCACCAGTAAGAGAAAGCCCCTGGCTAAGATAAAATAAAATAATTATCTCAATGTGAATTAACCTTAGGAAATAGAGGTCTCCTTTGTTTTTTAAAAAAATGAACAAATAAATCTAATATCCTATACTCTTAGAGATTCCTTTGGAAATTTCTTTCTTTGTTAATACATTCTACACATGGATACAGAGCGGAAAAGTCACTAAAACCATTTTCTTATTGATAAGAAATGTTGTGGACTATAGGTTATAGCAACAGTTGAAATAGGTATTCTGAACATGCTCTCAAAACATAATATGTAAGATGCATCTTCTGTCAAGCAATATGGATGTTTTATAGCACATAAAGCTTTAGGGAGAAGATGTTGAATAAGATTGAAAAGTTAAGAAAGTCCTGAGGACTTATTTTCTGTCCCTGCACTAACCAGAATTTTATGAGTACACTGTAAAGAAAAATATGGTTTGGAACACAACATATTAAAAGCTGCCCTGTTTATGCATTAAAGCAGCCAGAATATATATAAATATGAATTTATTAGTGTTATTTGTAACTATTAGAAAAATGCTTAAAAATATTTTTAATGCTTTGTTCTTTAAGACAAAATGTGATTTATGCCCCAGAGAAAACTACTGAGACACAAAATGCAGTAGTATCCATTCTAACTGAGGGTTTGGCTTTGCCATCTATGTGTTACTTCCTTTGAGCAAAGTCATTAGCCATTATTCAGGGTCTTAAATGTTGTTCCTGCTAAGAAGGGAAGCTGGTAGAATGACCTCAAGTCCTTCCTGAACACAAACCTCGTTGTTCTTCTTCCAAAAAAACCTGATGCAAAGTACATAATAGGTATCTAATATAAAATCATAGAATCGTAGGATCATTTAGGTTGGAAAAGACCTTTAAGATCATCAAGTCCAACCGTTAACCTAACACTGCTGAGTCCACCACTAAATCATGTCTCTAAGCACCATGTCTATATCTTTTAAATACCTCCAGGGATGGGGTCTCCACCACTTCCCTGGGCAGACTGTTCCAAAGCTTGACAACCCTTTCTCTGAAGAAATTTTTCCTGTTACCCAGTCTAAACTTCCCCTCACACAACTTGAGGCCATTTCCTCTCATTCTATTGCTTGTTACTTGGGAGACAAGACTGATACCCACCTCAATAGTTCTATTCCACAAAGGTCCGAGGGTTGTTTGGTTTGGCTTGGTTTGTTTTTTTTTCATCTCCACACAGAATCAAACCTTGCATTTAACTCCTCTGCTTTAGTTTTTGATTGACCTTCCACGTGGTCTGTGATTTCAGTAACAGCTTGTATTTCATCAGCTGTCTTACTCCCCAAGCATGGTAATACTACAGTTAAATTTAATCTGAATGGCTGCTCCCCTCTATGAAATTCAGGCACGAACCCTCAGAAAAATACCTGTGAAGAAGACTGTTTTGCCTCTGAAATTGGTTCTTTTGCTGAATAAATTATGTTCTGAAAATAAAGGATCTGAATCAGGAAGAGATGTTGACTGTAACTGCCAGTGTTTATTCACAAGCACACTCTTCCATTTCCCTTCTTTCCTAAATAGCATTTTTAAAAATCACTATTGCAAAGAGTAGATCACACCAACTTGACCAGCAGATAAAGACGGTGATCAAAGAACTCTTGATTCCCTTTTGTTCAGGTTCTTGCAGCATGTTCATTAATATTATCATTACTCAACTACACCCATCAAATCAAGTCCTGTGTTTTCACTTTTACAGGTCTAACCCACCGACTGAAGCCAGTACAAAGCCACCACTAGAATGTTTTTACTGAAGTCTAAAGTGATATGAATGGCCATCCCACAGCCTATTTCTTAGAGTGGTTAAATTTATGGTCAACTGTCAGAATAAATCCTGCTTTTACATCTTAGTGTAAGCTTCTGTACTGCACCATCTAATATTCTTAAAGAAGTGGTTATGAATTAAATCAAAATAATGGCATCAGGATTATGCAAAAGTATCTGCTACATGTTACCTCAGTTGCCACAACTGATGTGTGCAAGTACTGGTTCTACCATAAGCAGGATATTATGTTTCTACAAATGGCCATACTTCAAACATTTTGACGTGCAAACAGTACACGGTTAAGATAAATTACTTTTGGTTCAGGAGGAATAGCTTTAAAAAGCTTTAAATCATTATGGGTAGGGTCAATCAGAAAACTCCCAAGTCATCCGCATAAAACAGGAGTGCAGTGGCAGACAAACCAGTGCAAAACAAATGCAGTCTGAAGATCCAGATTCACTTCTTTGGATATTTCAGACCGCTGGAGTGATGCGAGTGAGCTGCCCCATGGCCTCTTCATTATTCTGGGTGTCACTTAGCTGACATACACTATCTGCTTTACTTTCCCCAGTCATTTTGCACTTTACCATTCATTTGAGTTAGAACTATAATAAGATGCCAGCTGAGTGAATCATTTGGAGTCAAATGCATGTTATTCGTTATTCAGCTGCTGCCCGCCTGGTCATGCATTCAGATGGCCAGATCTAAAGTGACAGAACTCTGTATTCCCTGGTACAGCACTGAATTAGCCAAGCGTAGGGAACAGGGAAGGGAATATTCATGGTATTACCAGGGGAGCAAGGGAGGAAAAAAAGCTTCCTGGCCTTTAAAACGGTTACCCTCCACAAGCTGTTATTTAGAATGGAGAGGATGGCATCACTTTAATACGTCACATAGAAAGTTCTCGATGTTGTTAATGAGCTGGCTTTGAATCTTTCTCCAAAACATAAATCTTAAGGACAACGTAAGAGGTGTTTGAGGTATCAGACCTCATTTTTGATAAAATCGGTTTGAACTTCTTCAGATAACAAAGCTAGTGAAGCTTCCCCGTGCTTAGTGCTTCTTCTCCTTTGCTCCTAGCATGTATCTGTTTACTGCTTCATTTATGACAGACTTAGATGAAAAATTCTCAGAAATGGGCTTTAAAAAATACTTTGTCTGCAAACTTTTTACAGACTAGACAGAAAAAACCCAGAAGTGTTACATACTAAGTACAAAGAAATAGGAAAACATCCGCTCCTCCGCTATCTCACTTCATTTGTTAATGTGAATGAAAATGTTTTACCCCATTACTCGTTATAGCTAAGACTTTGCCAAGTTTTTTTGCTTCCTCTAAATACCACACACTGAATACTTAACACAAGATGAAATAAATGCATCTTGTGAAATTAAGGAATATTGATGAACTCAGACCACAACAAATCCACAGCCCAAAGAGATGGTGGTGATAACCCTTACCATGAGTCACAAAGGTCCTGAAACTTCTGAAGAAGAGCTCAGTTGCCACAGGGGCGTTGATGGAAGAACCGTGTCCGTAAAGAGGTCTGCAGGAACGCTCGCTACACACGCAGCATGCTGCAAGGAATTTTGAAACTCCATAAACACATGCATAATTTTAGGCACGCAAGAAGTGGATTTATTCCGAGCGAGGGGCCATCAACAAACTGATGCAGGCGTCTTAACACTGAACTCAACAGACAAGATTTAGACACCCAATGGAACCACAACTAGCGATCCCCCAAAATCCATGTTCAGCTGTCACAGGCGAAGCTGCAGGCACCCATCCTCATTAACACAGAGGTAAGTGGCGGATGACGGGGCCTCATTAGGGCCCCCAAACCAGGACAGTCCCAGGAAGCTCCAGCTGGTGGATGTCTTACAGCACACCCCACTCTCGCATTAAAGGATTAAACTCCCTGCAGAAACCAGCGGCATTGATCACCAGGAAGAGCCCTGTTGTATGAAGGCCTAAACGTTCATTACAGCAGAGTCTGAAGCCTGGATCTCTTGCTTGCCCGTGCGTGTGTCACTCGTGAGGCAACCGCCCACCTGAATGATTTTCCTGATGCTGAGTGTTCGCCCAGTTGGCCCCGAGAACAGCTTCAGGGCAAGGAATGGGTAAGGGGCGACTTTGCACGCCCGGTTCCCCAGTGATGATCAAGACCCGGGCACCTGAAGTTAAGCCACGATGCCACAGGTGCGGGGCCCGGAGGGGACGAGGGTATCAGAGGGAGGCCGCTCGGACCAGACAACCGTTCACGCGGCCCCAGCTCGCACGCCGAGCTCCTCGGGGCCTCCGGGCTGTGCCCAGGCCTGAGGTGAAAGCCTCAGGGGGGATTTTTCGCCTTCGCCTCGCAGGGGTGTGGAAGCACCTCAGGCACCGGACCCCCGCTCGGTGGGGAGGAGGGCAGGAGGTAGGGCCGCGGCCGCAGGCTCCTACCTGCGGCTTCGGGCGCTTC